TGTAGCTGTCGTAAGGCATAGGGTAGATGCCAGTGATAGGCTATGCTCCCCTCGGTGATAATCCATCCAAACGCCAAGTAACGGCGGGAAATTCAAAGCTTCATAGTATACCAGGCCGTTTTCACTCGGATCACCGTGTTTTATGTTTCCATTCTCCGCATACCAGAATTTGTTCTTTTTACTGTAGTCGATGCTGATAGCGTTGAAGGGGTCATCATCACCAATAGTGGCATTAGCCATAATCACTAACTCATACGGCTCGAACACGTCCATGTACCCACAGAGCTGCGGGACGCCCATCGAACCATATTCTGGTCGTCGTACATACTCCCTCGGGTCGGCAATAGATGTCGAAATGGTTATCGTTGGGAAGCCTCTGCACTGCGGCAAACTGCGCCCTTTGAATATACTTTCAAATTCGCCTTTGAGATAGGCGGCGAAGTCTTCGGCCTCCCGTGACCAAGCAGGTCCGATGGCCAGATGCCCGCACGCGCAAGTCAGGAGCAACGTCACAGAGTTCGATCTGTTGAAAAAGTCCGGGAAGGGCGTCACGGATGCTAACTGTGGGAAATCTTTATAAGTCTTCCTCACGCCGGCCACATAGGACAGCGCCCCGTCCCTGCGACCATCGTACGTCGTATAGGGATACGGGGCTTCCGGCTAAGAACGAAAATATGATAACAATGAGCAGTAGTGGAATATATGTCCGCTTTCTTCAACTGGGTTCAGCGGTTTCCTCACTAACTATGAAAGTCTACATACGAGTCCGGGTAGAAGTGTACATAAAACACTAATGAATTTCCGCTATCCAACACATGTAGTAAACCATGTGTATATTTTCTCACAGTGACAATGTGAATGTAGCTCACCCGAGCTTACGATAATCTGCAAGTCACGGGAGTCCGGATTGACCAGCGGGGCAACAACAAAGCAAACCACTGCGACGAAAAGTGGTAACAGAACTTCACAACAGACCGTTATCTTGGACCTTCGAGAGAGAAGGAAGTTCTTTTTTGTCAAAGCCAGTACCTGATGAACAGAACTCAGCTTACCATAACAACAGGAACTATCGGAGATTTTCAAATAGACGAACATGACCTACTTGCTTGCGGAAGAGACCCGTAGTGAGGCTCGGATCAGCTTCTGTGATTGCCATATATAGATTGATCAACTGGAGCAACACTTCGTATGATATGATATGAGTTGATTGATAATCAGTTAACCGTCGGGCTTCACCATGACCATTCCTCGCAAAACACGATTCAACACAGTCGGCGCCTCGGACACACACGTGAGCGTTCACATTGCGAGGTTTTCTACAGGCTGACTGAAGGGAGCGTTTCTATAGATAAGATTACCCGAATTTTGCTCAGAGAAACGTTGGGAAGAACGACCTCACGAAGTGTTCTCAGAAGCCTTCAAACAAGATCGAGAACAGTCGTGAGGCTATTCCCACCGCTCGGTGAACTAAGTCTATTACTTGCAAGTTATGTGGTGTACTATGTCATGAACGACGCTAGCCTACGGCTACGTCATAAATGGCTACACAGTACGCTATGAGGGTATACCCTAGCGAATGTCTTGTCACACTCTGTACCGTGGAAGGACTCGAGCCGAAGAAGGGGGCTTTGCATCACAAGATCGGTATGACTTCATACCCCCCATGGTGCCCCTTTCGTGTCTCGATTTTTGCTGATTCTTCAACACATTATGCGCTACGCCAATTACGCACAGGGACAACGAATAGGTAGTCATAGTCGAGTTAAAGCGAGGGAGCACTCATTCCAACGCTCCTCCCAAAGAGTCACGGTTGTTGCTGCTGCTCACACATGTCCGGGCTTGTCCATGTCCCGTAGAATTACACTGAACCACACGCTGACGGTATAAAAAAATGATCTATATCGGAAGCGGATTAGCACTCAAACTTGGAGCACGAGGTGTCGTCGAGTTCACAAGATCTCGTCACCTTAGCAAAGCGTTATGATGATGGCAATGGGAATGGGTCTTTCACCTGAACAGCGGAGCTACGACTAACATCCCTCCAAAGCGCCGCATCTACCTCGAATTTCTGGCTCAGCTCTCGCATGACCAACTCACTATGCGACGCTGGGTCGTTGACAGCGGCGACCAGCCAAGGATGAGCATCTGCGATCACAACGACCGAGGCAAGCCTATTCAAACCGGCCATGTGAGCCGATACTAGAGCTCTGAAGGCTGGGATATCGAGGGCGCGAGGAGCCTGCTGACGAATGAGCCCTAGAACAGCCGCGAGGTCTTCTTGGTCACCCTTGGTAGAGGCTGTCGCCCAAACTGGCTCACCGATTTCTTCCCCAAGGCGTTCAGATGTGACACCAAACATCAACTCCTTTTCGGTCAATACAACTGCTACGATAAGGCCGCTAGAAGTAACCGATCGGGCCAGTTCGTTAACTAGTGGACTCAAAGCCGTCACCTCCTCGAGAGTGCTGATGCTGCCGTCGAGAGAAAGCACGACGAGATCGCCGCTTGAGGCGCTAAATAGGAACCTCCTTCCCCCCATGCGGTCACCAAGTGAGCACAGCTGGTGAGCAGCCGACTCGGGCGAGACGGCGATCCCCGACTCTCGGCCAGGAAAGGCCTTGGGCGGTTGAGTAGCGTCGTAACAGTGTAGCAAATGCGCGATGCCTCTGAAGCGCTCAAGGCGATCGAGACTACTCTCGATATCAGATTTGGTCAGGGGCGACCGGGTCCGTAACATCATCAGGTGAGGGAGGGACGATGAATGATGCAAAATGGTGAGTCTAGCATCACTCATTTGGATCCTCGTGGAGCAATCCACGGGTACTAAGGGACCTCTAGGGGGGATGATGTCGGGAGAGCTCGCACTCCGATACCATCGAGAGCCTTGCATGGAGTACCACTCAACGCACTGCGGCTCGGTACCACCCAAAACCAGGAGACAGTCGCTGGACGTCTCAGCATCCAAGAGGGACTGCCGCTTCACGTAATACAGACCATGACTCGCTCGAGGGAGTGAGCGACCGACTGAGTCGACATCAACTCGATGACACTTGGCTCGTTTGTATGAGCTGGAGAAGTCAATCCGCCATAGAGCGTTCAGAGGCATGTTGTGAAGACCTAGTCCGCCGTGTACGTAAACGCACCCATTGCCGTCTGAACATGCCGCTATACGAGACGCGGGCTTGGGCAGGACTCCATCGTCGCTTTCGAGTTGGACTCGATGCCACTCTCCTGTCAAACCTGTCTTGTGGCGCTTCAGCTTCAACATCCACAGAAGATCTTCAACCAGCAGAGACTTTGGGGAAGTGCCCCCAAACATGGCCACACGTTCCATCGCTCCGTCCTTGTGCGAGGCGAGAGCAACAGCGGCGTGATGAGACCTAGGGGAAGGAGATTCCCCAGTAATCTTGATGAGGCTCCAGCTATGTTCTCGCTTGTCGTGAACAGTGTCAAGCCAAACCTCCAAAGCATATTCCTCTTTGTGTTGCGGGGCTTTGACAGCTCCTATAAAAAGGGCCTCAGAGGAGTCAGGGACGCGAACGACGGTCGGATGATACGCGAAACTGGGCGGTCCTGGCGACTCCTCTGTAGGGACGAGGGCTTTCCACTTGTATATGACGTAAGAAGGTGTGACTCCTTCTACAAGGCTGGCAGGTGGCGTTTGGTTCACTCGGAGGGAAATGAGGAAGGTTCGCAAGACTTCGTCACCATCACGACCCTGTCGTCTAGCAGCCCTGGTCTTCACCGTTGTCGCTTCGGTCAACCCATGGACGAGTACTTCTCCACTGCCAATGGTCGTTAATGACACCAGTCTGTTGGCAGTAAGAACCTGCAACCGGAACGATGACAGCCGTGGAGCGAGAGGGGGATCTGAACTATGATGATTACGGATCATGATTATAATGATTATCGTGAAACTGTCATGCGCGCTATATCGAGGAGCCTCCAAGATAGTCGGACGCTTACCTCCTTGAGTTCATCCGCGTGCTTCAGTCGGCTTGTGTCGACTCGGGACCACTCAGCGTCCTGTAAAAGGCCGGGTCCTATCACTGCCATATTAGTCGGCATCAGCCGTCTTTTCTTTCGAGAGTTCTCTTCTTCCCGCAATTGATGGAGGAAGATCGGTTCGTTCTGGAACGTCATAGAAAAGACGGATGGAGGCTTTGAAGTCAAACTGCTTATACGATCCTTGCGCTCACTGTACGTGTGTATGCGTGCAACAGAGACTCACGCAAAAACGAGCTGTGTTTCGAAAAACGGCTGATCCAAGTGATGATTGGTGAATCAAGCAAGTCCGCCAGGGGAAGTAATATACACATGCTGCATGTGACATGCGTTCAATGACGTGACGACAGCAGCAGCTCAAATAATCTTGCAATTCCATCGGGTTTCAGACTTGTCAGTCGCGAGGGTTTTTTGAAAAGCGTGGATAAGAGTCATCATTCGGCAGTCAACCTTGGTTGTACAACTTGGTTGGACACATCAACTGTGGACATACTAGGATTACGATCGCAGACTTCTACCAAAATTGATGTTCCTCTGTGCGAAAAAGGAGTTATTATTATGTCGAAAGCGAAGTAGCTAAATCGACGTGTCAACGAAATTGAAGTTGCTAAATCGACGTGTCAACGAAATTGAAGTTGCTAAATCGACGTGTCAACGAAATTGAAGTTGCTAAATCGACGTGTCAACGAAATTGAAGTTGCTAAATCGACGTGTCAACGAAATTGAAGTTGCTAAATCGACGTGTCAACGAAATTGAAGTTCCTAAGTCGACGTGTTGACGAAATTGAAGTTGCTAAATCGACGTGTCAAGGAAATTGGAGTTTCAATAGGGGGTATTTTGGGGCACTAACTCGCTCGCCTGGTGAAATTGAAGTTTCTAATGGTGAAATAAAGGTTGTAAAGGTGTACTTTAGCGAGCACTGTAAGGCGCCTTAAGTTTGGGAATGCTCACGGCGGCTTGTGTTGAGTATCATTGTGAGAGAGGCCCGGTGTCTGCAGTCACCTTTTCCGCAGCTCACAGACAAATCATGCGTGCTGCAACGATCAGTTCGCTTTCTATGCTGATATCTGAGTTAGTGAGAGGATCTCACTGTGTCTTGTTGAGATATCAATTCACAGTGTGGGAGAATATGCACACGGTGAACCACATGTGTTGGTGACCATGTGGAAATTCGGAATAGTGTTGGTTTCTTACACCAAGTCTTGTGTAAACTTGTATTATGTAACTCTAGAAATTTCTGAACTCAGCTGAGGTGAGTGAACATATATTCCAACACTGGTGATTCTTGATGCTAAAGTTGTTGTGTTGAAGTCATCCGGGGTATTACGGAGGACGAGTGAAGCACATCTACTAGGGTGTCGTTCGCTCCAAGGCGCTATTAAATGCATACTGTGCTCATAGACTAGCGATATATATCAGGAGTTCCCATTCACGAAGTACGACTTGGTTAAGGAGTTCACCAAATCAGCATCGTATTAAATCGAAAGAGGGTTAAACTGACGGCATCTGAAAGTGTATATGCACATCTTATAGTAGATTATACTATGGAATGTCTTTCCTCTTCAACCTAGCCTCCTCCATCACAAGTGCCTTGGAGGGCGACCCAACGCCTGCGTCTGATGCTGTCGATGGTGATGACTCCGTCCAGGCTAAGTGGGATACGACGGCAGGTAGAATATTCAAGTGGGAGGAGAAAGGACTTCTTTGGGTGCGTCTACAGCATTTTCAGGTCAAATTTATTTCTTACCGACAAATTTTACTTTTTACCCATTTGGTTAATATTTTACCCATGGCTTTCACAGTACCACAATTTACAAGAAAATTAATATCATACCGGTTTATTTGAAAGTTTAGGAGTTTAATTTAACTCATTCCTTACGTCTAGTTATGACCGATCGCGAGGCTTGTCGTTTTTTTAGTTTCGAAGGCCACCAGTGCCGCAAAGGAAGGTGCGGACTTCTTCTCAGCTCTGGCCGACAGCATAGACCGCGACGTGAGGGTGTCTTGTCACGGTATGCACAACTCGTTGCTTGCTGTGTAGGTGAGCACATATGATGTTGTGGAGGCATTGAAAGAATGCAAAGAGAGAAACTCCGCATCACCTAAGGAACTGCGGCGCGACTCTCATGTAACGTCATGGTTTCCTCCAGTACTTGGAGTCGGTGGTTTGTATGGGACGAGTCTTCTCAGTTGAGCGAGTGCATGGCCAGGCTTAGGGAGTGTGCGGAGACATCTCTGGAGAGCTTACTGGTGAATCAAGACAGTGGGATCAACGATTTAGGACTTTCCAATATGGGTAGTGAGTGGAGCTTCCGAAGGTCATAGACTGCACGTGGTAGGTATCGTAATAAGTCTGCTCACTCGAGTGTTGACTGGCGAGGAGGATGCGCCTATTGAACCCGATGATGCTTTCCAGGCCTACATTGAAGAGATCACAGAGAACGCCCTGGCAGTGGTAGTAGAAGTAGTCCCTATATGGTTCATGTGGACTCAGGTTCAGAGGCTGTGGAATCATCTGGAGGCTGGAGGCGGTGATGAAGTTGACTGGTAGCTGGAGAGCTGGACGAGATGGTACTGCCCACGGCATGCTTCAGGTCCTCTACTGTCTCTCTTGTGATGAGTCGTTCGGCGAACGGGACGACTTTTATAAGATCTTTGGAGGTGTTCAGCGTTGAAAAAATGGTGGCATGCATGGGTTCTCCCAGTAGGTTTGTATAAATGCAGCGTGTAGAATTTGCAACTCTATCGTACGACAGTCAGACATGCTGGGCTTGGGCGCTCCTCGGGAGGCTCTTTCAGGGGTGAGTCTGGTCACTTGGAAGAGTGTCATCATACCACTGTCTAGGCGCTAGTGCACTCGCCTTGTGCGATAGGCTCCTTACTAGGCGCGATAGCTACGTTGTCTACTGAGGACCAGCTGGAAGTCTCCGAGCTCGAGCCGGCACCGGTAGAATTGGAGTTTTTGTATCACATGCTGGTCCCTCCTTTGGGTGTGTCTACGAGTAGCAGCAGTGGGCAGCAGAAGGGCGATGGTGGCGACTTGCAGAAAATAGTTTGTTTTCAAGGAGGAGTTGAAAGCCTTATCACACTAGTAGGAGTCCTGCGGCCGGTTTTGCATGATTTGCACGAAGTGTGGTTCTTTTTCTCTCAGGGCAGAAGTAACCTGTCGCAGCCCTTGGTCGTAGCGGCGTCTTCGGCCTGCCTTTACCAGCTAGCAGTGAATGAAGGGTGTAGGAAGTAAGTGCAATCGCATTCAGTAGTGGGGTCCTACTCCCCCTCGTGCTCCTTAACTCGCCTTAGTACAGAAACGGTGTTGGTGGGTCAATTGAGGCTAAGAATAAAATATACTCGTGAGACATCAAACTCTTCCACAGCTTTATTATAAACCTCGCTGAACATTTTCTGAAGTGTTCAGTGAATGAAACGGATTTGATAGACATTTATGTAGAAAATGATAGGTCTTATATCACATTGGCTATGCAATGTTATGGGGGGACATGGCCCTTCCGAAGCTGTCACAATGTAGGTACATAATAGAAACGGGGCTGTTGGAGCCTCTGGTAGATCTATGTAGGATGGTGGTAGAGTCGATGAGCTCTGAAGTTAGCGAAGAAATGGGAGGTGGGCTTGGCGATAGAGTTTCTCCATTTCGATCGATGATACATACTAAGATGATAATAATACTCCTTGGGTCAGGAAGATAAGTCGCAAATCTGGCGCATTTTGGGTAAAAATTGGCAAAGTAAATTTTTTTCGAAAATCGGACCCGTGTAGTATTTGAGCGATAGAACTATACTAGGATACATGCTGCTGAAAATTTCAGGCGAATTTGAGGCCTGTATAACGAGCTAAGCTGGCGACACGTTTTCGCACGACTAGATTGCGCGTACTGTATATACGATATTAATATTAATAACGAATACGTTTGTTAGTATCTTTGGCTGACATAAAAGACGTAATGTTTGTGATGGAAATTTGTCTCAGGAGTGTTGGCATCGATGGTGTCATGTGTGACCTGTTTTGAATCTGAAGTTGTACGGAGTACATCAGGCAGTGCAGAATTGAGGAGGGCGGCGTTGAAGGTAATCGCGAATGGATGTATCCAGTGTGGGAAAATATGCACTTATGCGACAATATGAAAATTCTGGGGAAATTTGGTGGAATTCTGTCGGTTTCTGTATACTTGTACATACCCGAACTCCTAAGCTCGGCTGAGGAATGCTGAAAACCTATGTTTTTCCAACACTGCTGCTCTCAGACTCTTTCGGAGACGGTCGCGTCCAACGTGGTAGCTGATTCGCCTGAAGTTGTCCAGTGGCTGTCGCGGTTGTCGAAGCATCTCGGCATTGCTGAGGACTGTGGGCCTGAGATGATAGGATATGCTGTCAATGCTATGCTGACTTCTTCATCATCTGAGGAGATTGTCAATTCGATCCGCAGTGATATGATGGATGAACTGTGTGGGGCTCCTGTGGGGTAGGGAGGGGGCGGTCTGGGTCGGCTCATTCCGTCCTGTGCAGGCTGGCGAAGTACTTGTGCACAGCGCCAGAGGTTGTTGATTCGGCCCTCCAGGGTTGGAAAATGTCGCCGCAGCGAGCCGATATTACGCTGAGGGCGTTGTTGGCAGCGAAGCAAAGACAGGCTGAGGTGGCAGAGATATATTTCGAGGGTGAGACTATATAGATGGAGGCTTTGAGATTCGAGGGGAAATATTGTTCCCGGGAGTTCGATAGCAGTGGGGAAAATGTCGTTGATGTTATACTTACACGGGGAACTGATCGAAAAATGTGACCATGTGAAAAATTTGGAAAAATTTTTTTCCGGGGTTATTATAGGTTCCTGGATGATACCGTGCTTTGGATAGGTATATCATCTCTGGTGAAGACAGTCGCGGATGTTGGTAGTGTTCAGGAAGAGGAGGGAGAGAACGATCAATATGCCTTCCTGCTTCCTCAAGTAGCTTCGACTGGGCAAGACAGTACTCTCGCGTATTAGTTTTGCTCAGGCGTTGCGGCTGATCTTCCTATGGGCGGCGGGATCGTCGTATGGAGGGGAACTGCATGAATACGTGTGCGGTGAGGTTGGGAATTCCCCAATACTGATACCGACTCTGACGAGGCTTGCATCGCGTATACCCAACCAAGGAAAGAAGGATGTCTACATTGTAAGGCTGGAGGAACTGTGTTGTGAGGACTGTCTTCATTTCTCTTCGGGAGATCTTCGCACGAAAAATTCGGTTTTATCTGACGCATGAATGAATTCTCTTCACTGCGGTTACCATATAGAATGGTCACTTCATGGGGTCTGGATATGTAGGTTGAAGTCGATGGGTTAATCTCCTTTTAAATGTATGTGATTCGATTTGGAGTGATGTATGGTACAGATATTCCTCGTGCTGTACAGTACCAGTCGTCTAGAGAGGATGAATATGTGTGCAAGTCTATTTTGGGTTGAAAAATTGCTGTCCTATCCTACATTGTGGGTATATATATCAGGACTACTTGGAAGAAAAAATTATCTTGAAACTCTCGTTTTTGAAAAAAATTACGCTTGCACACCTGTTCCCCCTCTCGAGATGAGTGGTACTGTACGTGTCTATCTCTGCCTTAGTCCGGCCTCTCATGTGCTGTTCTCGGCGCTGTCATAGTGAGCGGCAAGAGCGCCGTCGTCCAGGAAGCTGTGGAAACGAAGGTAGACGTAGGGTTATGCTGGTTCTGGGAGTATCCTCACTTGAGTAGGTCACGGTGAAGACGTTCGTGGGCAATCTGAGCGGCCTTCTACAGTTGAAGTACCATAGAGGAGATGGAGAGCTGTTCGATAGAGGTGGGTTCAATAATATATGCACATATCGAATCAATGGAGTTTCACCCGTTTTACGCGAAGTGAAATGTGAAATGTGTTTTTCACTCGTGTTTTTCACATCATGGGTGAAACTCCATATGTGCTACAATGCTAGTACCGTACTAGTAGTACGCTGACTGTGTTGATCGTGATGGGGGTCAGATGCACCGAGCATTTGGAGTGATCTCCAGCGGGTTCTTGATGCGGCGAAGAAGTGCTTCTTACAAGGGCTCTTATCGAAGGCGGAATCGAGCGGCAACATGAGTGAGAAGAGCGTGGAAGGTGAGTTTTTTCATCGGATGATTCTGATAATTTCCAGGAGGGGGTCTATCCGGGTTGAACTATGGCAGGAAAATGTGAATCGGAATGATTTGGTGTGTATTACTGGTTTACGGGTGTTCATACTTCTGTATTGAAAATCAGTTGTGAGTTTCCATCCAGTGTTAGTTGCCGAAATATCGGATGAGTATTCTCGACCCGAACGCATGAGGGTATCGAAGAGATCCTTAGTCCGAAGGCTTGAGGGCTGCTCTGTTCTACGAATGTGATATGTGATGAGGCAGTGTGTGATGTATCTCGCTCTCCTCACTGGTCAACCGATGGATTGAGATGTGTACGCGTTCAGTGTCGACCGATAGCGGGAATGGCGTCCCTAGTATTCGGGCTGACGAGGAGGGCGAGGAGCCAGCTGCTGAGGGGGGCATGTCCAATGCACAGATGAAGAAGATCGTTGCGGGTTATCAGTCCATCATCAGTGCCCATGAGCAGGTATGTGGACATATCGAGGGCTGACCGTTGATGTTTCCGCATCTGCTCCTGTTCAGGAACTCACCGAGTTGCGGAAAGAGGTTGACAGGGTCCATGCAGAGAACGATAAATTGAAGAACTCGATACAAGTGGGTGCGCATTCCTCGTGCTTGAACGTGCCACACTGGTCGTGGTGAATCGACTCCGTTGTATTGGTCTGAGATCTTGAGCAGGCCTTTCAGTGGCTATTTGCTCTTCGCGGGATGCTTGGTCGGAGGTAACTCGGTTCGTGGTTTTTCTTGTTAGGCCCAAGGCATAAAAATGAATGAGGCGGGCGACTGCGATGCCACCATGGCTCTCGTTGACCGAGTCGCGAAGAGCCTCCGAGGGAAAGTGAGTAGCGGCGAGGACGGCGCGAGAGCTCTCAATGTTGCCACTGTAGATTGATGATTTAAGCAAGCAACTTGCACAAGCCCAGGCACAGACAGCTTCGAAAGATGCTAAGATGGTGAGATGAGAGTGCTCTTTCTCGTCGGGGTTGGCATCGTTGTGTCGGTCTGCAGTATCGAGAGCTCCTAGCGAACGATAACGAGAGGCGGACACGAATGGTCGAGGCCTTAGGGAGACGCTGTGAGGGTAACGCCGGTGGGTTTGCGTCATTGGCATGTATACTGCCTTTAGACCAGCTCTGTATTCTTTGCCTTAGATTCAGAGGCAGCGATTAACTCTCCTGTGTCGTACCGAGGAGGTGCGTCACCACATGGATAAGGAGCGAGAGTCGGTGCCTATTGCCCTTTGTCACTTATGAATATCGTGCAGCAGTACACTGTTTCTATCCAGTAATGTGTTTGGTTATAGAGTAAATGCAGTTGAGGATACGTTGTTCGAACCATTTGTTTTCAGTAGCAATAGTTGTTGGAAATTGTAATTCCCATCCAATGCCGTGGGGATGTCAGCACGAGAGGGGCGACCGCATCTTCTGGCCACTCCTCTCCCATTTCCCTCTCTCCGAGTGAGGTGCAGGAAGGACACGAGGGAAAGGTTAAAGCGTACTGACGAATATGGTCCACATAGAATTGGACGTGCCGGGGTTTGAACCCGGGGCCTTCTGCATGCAAAGCAGACGTGATACCACTACACCACACGCCCATGGATTTCTGGTGTCGATGAGTCCTCTGGTGCATATACGCCAGCTGATTACTCACGCTTCACCTATAGGCCGATCATCAGGAGCGTTCTTGTGATGATTGTGATTCATGTTGAATTGTACAATACTTTCGCAATTAAAACTTAATTTGATGATTCATTTACTTCAGAATCTGCGAAAACCGTTTCACACGGACAAAACTACGCATGGATATTCCACACATTCTCGGTCGTCGAGTTTACAGGAGCTTTGGATTCCTCTCATTTCTCGTCGAGTATGATAGCTTCGACTCGGCATCGTCTGTTCGGCACGATCGCAAAGGTACACAGGACCTGCAAGTGGACTCCTTTCGTCTAGCTGGCCTCGTTCCTTCTCGAGTCGTGAATTCGTGGCACGAGTATACTAAACCCCAACACGAAGCTACGCCTTGAGGCCCTGTTAGTCTACGAGGGGCACTCATTGCAATCTTTCAGGTAGCTCCGTCATCGGGTGCAGCGGGAAGGATGTGGAGCTCCAAAGATGGCTATGCATGTCCCGCTCCTAAGGATCTTGTAAAGCATTTGGACGAGGTGAGGTGCAGTTGATGACCCAGTCTCGCTCGGGAGTAACCGACAATCCTCTTCTACAGAAAGTACTTCGATGCATTTCATAGGACCAACATTCATTTCGCACTAGTCAATAGTATATCGCCATGTGATTGTGTCAGTTCATCATCGGACAAAATGACGCGAAACGCGTTGTTGCGATTGCGGTAAGAGATCGGTGGAGACGCCAGCAGATCCCCGACGCAGGCCTGAGAAAAGAGTTGCTACCAACCAAGTATTCGGCAAGCATTGTCCAATCGTTTCCATCCCTGGTCTTCAATCGCAACTCATGGTCCATTGTGTGTTGGACCCCCTCGTTGTTCTCAGCATTCTTCTGGAAGGCCCATCAGGAAGCGGCAAGACGGAAATCGCAAGGCGACTAGCTGACGTCATCGGCGCGCCTCTTGTGAAAGTTGTGGCTACCAAGTAGGAGTTCTCGGGCACAGAGGGTAAATGAGTTTACTAGAAAATCAGATAGTCTGGCTTCTTAGCAAATTCTCACTTCTTATCGAAGGGTTGTATAATCTAGTTCGATCGTCGAGATACACTGAAGTTGGCTTCATTGGGGAAGATACTCAAACGATGATACACGAACTAGCGGACTCCTCGTATGACATGGAACGGAAACGGGTCATGTCGGAGGTCCAGGTGAGCATATGGTACACCGCACTCTAGGCGGGCTGAGAAAACTGTTTTGATTCATGATCAAGCGAATTTGCATCTGACAAGATATTCTTGTGCAAGTGTAAGTCTCTTTATGTAATGTTTTTATATGGACGTGCCGAGGTTTGAACTCGGGGCCTTCTGCATGCAAAGCAGACGTGATACCACTACACCACACGCCCTTCTATACATATATAAAATCCTGTAATTCCTGTCGTCGCGTATGCTTCGTTTTGTCGAAAATCGTGCAGGAGTAACTCTGGAAGAGTTCTTTGGGCACCTCTACATTATATCTGAAGCAATATGTGTACCTTCAAATCTCACAGTCTCGACACAGTTGTACACTGACAGAAATGCCCTGTGCAGTAGCCCCTACTCGAAATATAACAACTAATGTTCCGTATTAATCATAGAAGACTATAAGTGGCTTGTCGTAGGTCGAAGCCAGACAGCTCGCTATTGAAGCGGTAGCAAGATCCTATTTGTGTACTCCCGAGGGAACCGGGGAAGACTCAGTGACGGCGGCGAAGGTGAACTGGGGAGCGGGGCTCTCGGTATGAAGTAACTCCAGGATCTGATTGAGAAGGAGGATCCTCGGACTATGGACACTGAGATAGAAATCGAGAGTCATCTCACACACCCGGCACCGATCGATCCGAGCAGGCCGGGGGGAATTTTCGATGGAGGAGAAGGCAGCAGAGGCCGCAAAGGTCAGTGACAGTCATGATATTTGGCGCTTCTCGCGAGCGACAGTGCATTCGGCGATATTTGGCTGCGATGGCCGCTCTGAGCGACTGCCATCATGACCATTTTCCTCAAGATCTACTCTGTTGTAGATCAAGCGTCGCCATCACCCGTTTCGGGACGTGACGTGGCTGATGGGCGGCAGCTGTACAAACCAGGAACGAATCGTTTGCACAACGCTGAGGAAGCCCTGCGATGGAGCAAGCTCGCTGTTCGCGATGCCATGGTAGCCCTGCGCGATCAATTGCACCTTACCAGCCTGGGTTTGTGATAGTCCCTCGTCACTGAGCACTATGCGAGCATCCTGATAATAGACAGAGAACCCGAGATAAGGGAACGAGCACGAGTCACGTGCGAGGAGCGCGGGATGGTCTTCATAGACGAATTCGACAAGCTCATTAGTGAGGAGCGGGAGGTGAGAATATCGTCTTCCGGTCCTTAGACGATCTGGCATTGGTTTTCCGAACCGCCGTGAGCAAGCACGCTCACGTTCTCAAGGAACTATCTGTCATAGCTCAGACCGCCAGTGGTTTTGGCTCGAAACGCAGAGGAGTACAAAAGGAGTTATTGTCGCTGATAGAGGGAACGGTTGTCACCACTCCACGACTCGGACGAATATCGACTGAGCACATACTGTGAGTTGGAAGGCCCCGTGAGAAACACGGCTCGTTGTTGCATTCGCTGAATAATTATCACTGGTTCATTTTCCATACAGGTTCATCTGTGCGGGAGCATTCACGACTTCAAAACCTGCGCAGATCATGCCCGAGTTACAAGGGCGATTGCCGATAAGAAGCGTCCTGAAGCCGCTCACAACCGAAGACTTCTACCGTATACTGACAGGCGTCCGGTAACTTAACACATTGTACCGAAATCTGCGATGCTCGATTCGTGTACTGTATGTGAATCCGAACTCAGCGCTGTCGAAACAACTACGTTTCCTGCGTGTCGTCTACTGAAAGTGGACATCCTCAAGGTACGCGCTGCCAATGCAACAACAGGCTCTTCTGAAGGTTGAAGGAGTCGACATTCAATTCGATGTGGAAGCGTTGCAGGAGATCGCCAAGTGAGTTTTCATCTTCGACTTTATTTACATATCCAAATGCTGAGTGTCGTTGCTGTCCTTCCCCGTGAAAGCGCTCGGTTCGTCGCTGAGAGGCATCAAGCGACTGTGTGGACGAACATCGACTAACGTCACATTTTGTTGGTTGGGTCTGCTTGGGGCGGGCTAACAAATGAACTCAGTCAGGGCCAGCGTTCCTTTGAGTTCTTTTCTCTAGGAGTGCCTTCGAGTTGAATCGCAGTTCAGCCAACACGGGCGCGCGTCGACTGCAGAGTGTCATGAGTACACTGCTGGAGGAGATAAAGTGAGGCTGGTCGCGAGCGTTCGATCCGAACAAATGAAGTAACGCAAAATCACGCCTGCTACAGAATGAATTTCCCGCAAATGAACCCGTGGCACATTTGACCAATATAATCATGTTGAGAGAGTTCCTACACGAAATTTCAGGATGATATGAGCAATAGTTAGGAAGTTGAGGCTGCCACACGAAATCAAGTCCTTAGATTGCGCGTACTGTACCAGCTAATCCGTTACGAATAGAATTTGATGCCATCGCCTAAAGGATGCTCAGTGGAGGAACAGCAGTTATCTTTCCAGGTTCGATGCGGGATCAGGAGGTCCTACAGAGGTCCGAATCGACAAGGATAAGGTGAGGTTGCTCGGACGGATTTGGTAGATCACAGTTAGATATCGTTCCAGCCTTGCATATCGTTACAGTTGAGCTTTTCATATCGCGTGTCTGAATAGGTGAAGGCAACAGTGGCGGCGTTGATGACTAAGTCCGATCTCTCAAAGTATGTTATCTAGTCATTGCATGGGGATAAACCCGAGTTTCTTGTGAATGAATCTGTGATTTATTGAGTTTGTTGTAATCTCGGTCTATGTGGCCGAGAAGTTGATCGGGTAAACGATGAACTATCTAGCCGACATGATGAGGTCGAGGCCATTATCTTCAGATCGAGTAATTCGGCACGATTCAGTTGTTACTTGAAAGAGTCGTGTGGCGCCTCGGATAACATCCGAACGGAGCCACAACCAAGTTTGTTAACTGAACGCAGTCGGGGTAGATCAGACGAACAACGGAGTATCATGGCGTTGGACAATGGTCACAAGGCGACAACTTCTAAGAAATCCGTGTCGTTCTCCGACCCGGATCGCTGCAACTTTCCCAACAATCTATAAGCCTCGAGAGTAGCATCGGTCATGTCGACGAGTTCCCGCTCCTCACCGAGGCTCGGGTCGTCAACCCAAACCTCCGATCTGAACATGTAAGTAGAAGCTGTAGTTTCTAGTCTCAATGGAATGCATTATGACTTCACAGTAGCAGTACTCACCCAGAGGGCTCCTCCTCATCGTCCGCTTCTGAAACGGCTTGCGACCTGAATGAGTACGAGTGATAGCTGTCACTGGTAGCTGTGAATTTCCCTGCGTACCCGGTCCATCCGCTTTCTTGATCGCTACATTCGATAGTCTCGGTTTCTTTCAGAAATGTTATGTTCAGGAGTGTATCGAAAGACCGTCTGCTCTTGGAGCAGTCTGGGCTGAAGCTCGATAGCGACTTAGCGGCCAGTTCGGCGCGCTTTTGCTGCCTTATCGCAGCTTCTCGATAGAGTCGATCAGAAATAGCGCTAACGGACTTCGATGGAGTTATCGCAGCCGAATAAAGGTTGCGACAGAAGGTTTCCTCCTCAATACGTCTCCGCCTCTGTCGCCGGTTGTCTGCATCTTGGTAGAGCCTCAAGCTCGCCCTACGAGCCCGATGCGGACTGAAGTTCGAGTCGCCGGCGATAATAACCGGGGAGAAGGAGCATTCCGCGACCTCCCGTTGTCGTTCTTCCTGTCGTTTCTGCTCGGCTTTGGCAGTTTTCCGTTCTCGATGCTCTATTGCATCGGAATACAATCTATTGAATATACGTTGGCACTCGGCCTCGGAAACAACTGGCCCTCGGTGAGCACTTTCGGACTCGGTAGTAGAGTAATCGTGAGTGTTCGGTTCAACGGCTACGAAGTCACGAGCACGAAGCTTCACCTCCGAAATGTCAGATATTGGCGGCTTGACAAGGCCCTCCTGATCTTCGGCCTCGCTGACCTCGATGCTCCTGAGCATGATAGTAATCGAGATCCCTAGCTGTTGTCTTACTGGTATAGAGAAAGCCCCATGTGTGATGCCAATTGAGCCGCGAGTGAACGCATGGCTCGATAGAAACGTATGCAAATGCCTGGGAAGAAGCCTTTGTTTTTCAGAGGTGAAAGCTACGAACCTTCCACTGCGCTACGCTGCATCCGCCGCAAGTGATGCCAGAGCCGAACCTCTCTGTTCACTTCACACTTGCTCGTCAAACCACTTGAAGGCTCATTGAGGAGGCTCACCAATGCTGATACGTCGGCGACGTCTAGAGACATTTCCAGCGGGGCCTGAGCGGAGAAGAATTGCGTAAAAATGTTGAGCATGCGATTCACAACGACGACGAGACTCATCCGTTGCTGCACTGTACCTCAACACTCCCATACTGGGGATCGATGGCGTTGAAAACGGGGAACTTGATGACGTGGGTTCCCTCAGGAGTCTCCGAAAGCATTGGCTTATTCCCTCTGTCACGTTCGGATGCTGCTAGTAAGGTTAGCGATAACACCTGGATGCATCACTTCGGAACATGCCGAGAGACGGACAAGGAAGGCAGCGGCTCTGAGCACATACCTTGTTGGCAAGGGAGTTCTCGAAATCGCTGTAACCATCAGTCAACGCTTTGTAACAGGTCCGTTCATTTCGGAACGGGGAGAAAGACTTTGTTTTTCGTCGTCGTCGGGGGCCTGACATCTAGGGCAGGCTGGAAACGGAAGCAGTGATATACAGAAGCCGCAAACACAACGATTAATGGATGCTATTGAGACGTTGAACATGTTGAGGTCAGTATACTGCTGTTAGAGGCAAGCCTCTGGCAGCTGTGCACTAGTTGACTCCTGGTGACTTCTCGTATCAGATGACTCGGAGAGAGAACTCAGATGAGCAAGTGAGTTGGAAGTGTTGTGATCTCGAATGTGTATTGAGCGATAGGTTACTAACGTTCACGGCATGCCTCGATACTCAAACATTTGGAGAACTCCTCAGCGAGAAGCCAACGACCATCCCAATAGAATTAGCAAATCAAGACACTGGAAGGTCACCGAAACTAAGCTCTTGCATGTGTATGGTTACGCCATCATCATTCACTTATCGACCATGACGCATCCATTTTCTGTATTTGCGAACGATCGAAATGACTGAGCGGAGAAGCGGGAGACAAGATGTAGTAGGAAGGAAGTTGAAACTCACGTGGGCCCGATCCATGAGCAGCTCGTGTTGGCCACCTGGACCCAGGGGATCGGTGCTTACACCACACCTCGAGAGGGCTTGGCTGTGTGACTGACACAGTAACTGAGACAACGTATGTCTACGCCTATAGCGCCTTCGAGCGGAGGGTCGTTCAAGAAGGAATTTTGTCTAACTTTTTTAAGGTCAGCAGACAAATTCCGAATGATGAGATGTATGCGATAAGTTCACAGCGCCACTACGAAGCCAAATGCCGCTGTAAGAGAAAAGCATATCAGAGAGTCTCCGGTCACAATCGGTTATCTAACTTACCACGGGATGTGAGGCTTGGACGTGAATTCAAGCATGGGCGAGTCACTCTGCTGACGGCGGTCAATCGCATGGTGCAACCACTAAGAAGCAAAAATGTGTGTTGAAATCGTCACGCGCCACAGAAATGTCACTCGCGCGCGCCCCGACCCTCGACAGCGTTGTCGTGTTGGTTCACAGTGTGATGTCGGCCTAGCTTCTTCGGATGTGAGGTGCTTGTTAGCTTCGGATCGATCGATCTTGTTTCGAGTGAGATCTGACACTTTGGGGTCCCTGTCATTGTTGTGAGCAATGATGATTCGCGTCGAATGCATTCGGTGAAATACTGCGGTTGATGGTCACGAGATGCAGCCTGTTGGGTTGCGGAGTTTCATGTTGAGGGGCATTCTAGTAGTAGGATATTTCTATTCTTTATAGAAGCGTTGTTTGTGTTATAAAACAGTTATGCCCGGCGACGATGGTTCCTCTCTTACAGAACCCCAGGTGGTCGAAGCCGTTCCTACGAAGGATGATTCCCCTCCTGCCAAAGAGGAGTTGACCACATTACAAGTTTATACGAAAAACTTACCTCTTATCTGTAAACTAGGTGCTGGTTTCTTTGCTGATGCTTACGACATGTTCGTTATTGACATAGTCTTGGCTATTCTCAGCGAGATGCAAGAGGAAGATCCTACTGGACTAGGCATGGACGCCAGTACCAAAGGTCTGGTGGCCTCGGCGACTTCTATCGGTGCGGTTGCTGGTATGCTTTTCTTCGGAGTTGTTGGTGACCAAGTTGGTCGCAGGATTGGTATCTTATGTACTGGTGCGTTCGTGGCACTAGGTGCTGTTTGCTCAGCGTGTATTCAACGGTCTACGACGTTCTCTTTGGCGCATCAGCTCTTTGTGTGTCGTCTCGTGTTGGGCTTCGGAATCGGTGGTGAGTATCCTCTATCTGCAGCTATGGCATCGGAGCGCTCCGATAACGCTACTCGCGGGCGCATCACAACTGGTGTTTTTTCGATGCAAGGACTTGGTATGATATTCGCTGCCGTTCTGCCTCTCATTTTACTCTACGCCGGTTGCCCTATGGAGATCTGTTGGCGTGTTCTCGTTTGCTTCACGGTCGTGCCTAGTCTCACTGCACTGTATTTGAGATTGGGTATGAAGGAGTCTGCTGCCTTCAAGGAGCAACAAGCCCGCAAGAAGAAGAATAAGACGAGTTTCTCAACTCAGTTGAATGGTTTCCTAAGTACACTGCGGGTATACTTGAGGCCGCTTATCGGCACTATGATGGCGTGGTTGTGTATGGATGTTACATTCTATGGTACCGGTGAGTTTAAGCATTCAGTGTCAGCTGAACTCTTCCCTAATGGAAGTGGCGAGCAGGCGGTCATCCAAGACGCTTGGTTCGCTTTGGTTGTCTCCTTACTGGCATTGCCTGGTTACATCTGTGCCTGTTGGTTCATTGATATCCTTGGGCGTTGGAAGATACAGGTTCTAGGTTTCTGTATGATGTGTATTTTCTACGTTGTTATGGCTATATGTACGCAATTCAACGCGAACAAGTATCTAAATTTGATCATTTTCGGCATTACTTTCTTCTGGACTAACTTTGGTCCCAATACTACGTCTTATGTCATCCCCTCGGAGATATATCCAACCAGTGTAAAGACCACTTGCCATGGTATGTCTGCAGCTTCTGGAAAGCTTGGTGCGATTATAGGGTCGTTCATTTTCCCTACGTTGCAGACTTCTATTGGTCTCGCCGGTGTTATGTATGTGTGCACTGGTGTGGCTGCATTGGGTCTTATCATTACACTTATATTCCTCCCTAAGAAGCTGGTTGAAGCCGCTGCTAAGGGCATTTTCCTCATCACGCCTCCTACGCTTAATAAGGGGACTTCAGGAAGTGCATCTGTGGGAGGTGATATGAAGGCAATAAACTCTTCATCATCATCCGTCTCAACGGTGTCGGTTGATGGTGTTGACCTGGTTCGTGATATCGAAGAGGGCCGTGGCTCGAGCCAGTCTACTTCTGGCTATGAGGGTAGTGCGGTACCAGTATTGGCTGGTGGACGGTAGTCAGTGCTGTACATAGTGGTATTCAGCAGCAACAGCAGTGCTATTTTAAAAGCCGCTGCTGCCGATACTGCGGATATTATGTTACTATCAATTACCTGTCAATACAACTACCTTCGTTAAGGCCAAGTAGTTGCCACTTTAATAAGACTATGATCATTGGGACTCCATGTTTTAGTGTTTATACCAGTCCTTGCATTTCTCTCTTTGTCCAGCAGCAGCTGTGATGACTGAGTATATCCATTCGTTGTGGTATTATGAATGAAGTATGTCTAATGGTTCTCTTCTTCTTGAGCATCAAGTTCTGTCCATAATATTCGTCTTAATGTCTTTGAGCGAAGGAAGCATCTGATGATTGAGCTTTAGTATTTGGATAAGCCACTCTTTCTGAGCGTATCTAATATAACGTATCACCAGTCAATGGTTCGGTGACACGCAGTTTACATCTGAACTTGAGACTCCTGCTATCTAGTTGAGGTCGTTTTCCATTGGCGAATTATGAGCCCATTATTGGATGAGCCTGTTGTTCCTTCGGAAAGCGGTCGCTTTCGTTTTACATTCGGTTCCCGAGTGTCGTTCTTACCGTTTTTGTTGGTCAACTGCTTTAGTTGTCCTCTAGTTCCTCCTTCCTGGGTGTCACCGTACCATGCAGGGTGATGCGGACGTGCTCTTGTCGTCTAGTGAAAAGTATGTCACGCCTTGGCTGTTGATGCCCTTGGCGTTGCTTTCGTGACCGTTGCCCTTTGCTGTCTGATATCTGTGTCCGGAATGGGAATGAGACCTTTCCGTTTACACCACTGCTAGAGCCTATAGGCTTCTAATACAACTTAGATAGTGCTGTAAGAAAACGATGTCTGGGCGACCTACACGATGGGCCGCAGGTTTCGTTTTCGTTCAAGCACAGAAGAAAAATTGTCTACTAGCAAGCGTTCCAAGCGATTGTTACGTTTCTTATGATCTGTTGGTGAACCGATAGGTTACCGTGTTACAAGTTGCTATATGGAGCTTTCCGGCTTGCGTTCGTGAAGTATCGGGCTAATGGGAGGGCGGTGAATCGCATCCCGTGTTGAGCATGGTAGGATTGTTATGCTCTTGAATCTAACCGTTTCTCTCTAGTGTGGAGATATCTTACGGTTTCAGATATTTGGGAGTATCTTGCACTCATCGCATTCGTCCAGCTCTACCCGTCATACTCTCAGCAATTATTTCACACAAGCTCTTTGTCATTAGGTTATCGGGTCTTGCTATCACTATGGTAGGTCATCCTCTTTCCTACGCGGTTCGGTCGGCGAGGTCCGTTCACGACATGGCGGGATTAGGCGATCTGAGTCCCCCTACACCGTCTTTCGAAGGTCTTGCTAGTCATGTGAGTGGGGTGCTCTCTGATGCGCTTAGCTCAGATCTTGATCTCATAAGTACTCTTTGCCTGACTTTTAGGAGGAGGTTTTTGGCGTGAATAGTCCTGAGCGTGTCGGGGAGTGTACCAGGGTAACGATTCGATTGGATATTGTGATAATGATGGTTTTCAGAGCAATAGTGATTCACCAGAGGAATTGGGTGTCGGGGATTGTGTAGAGATCGATGGTGTCGAGTACATTATAGAGAAGTCAGTTGGGTCGGGGTCTTTCGGAATGGTGTGGGAAGCACGGTGTGGGGATAGACGAGTTGCTATCAAGGCTACCGACAAGTCTGGAGCGAAAGAGGCTGAAGCCATGCAAGCGTGGAAGGGTTGTGCCGCCGGTGCTCGGCTGAGCGAGCTCATAGCGTTCGACCGGCATCGGAATTTGTTAGTCCTGAATCTCGTAGCGGATTCTGTTGCTCTTGACGATTGGCTGCGGAGGGTCGACCTCGGTCAGCAAGTTGATACCGTAGAAGATGTAATCAGTGTTTGCACCCGACTGTTAGCGCAGATGGCCGGAGCTCTGGAAGTCACATCGAAGTACATTATTCATAGGGATGTATGCTCTCATAATATATTGGTTAATGTGAAGACTGGTGACTTTACATTGATCGACTTTGGTCTTTGTTCGCAGCGAAGAACGTTTAGTGCCCGCCAGGGTTTAGCGGGGGATTGCCGCTACTGGCCGGTGTGCGAGTGGCTGCTCTTTCTACGCGGGCATCGGTACGTGGAGAACTGCCCGGAGATGTTGCGCGATTACTTGCGTAGACTAGACCATCATGCATTGGCGCTTACTGTTATTGAAGTCCTCTCGAAGTTGTACCGGCGACTTGGGCGAAGTTCAGTGTCAGAGTCCTGTACTGGCAAGGGAGTATCCTGGCAGTCAGGGGACTTTTCGACTGCCCTACTTAGCTCCACAGATGGTTCCCATGATAACAGCAGTCTGCCGAGTGCGAGGTCTCCCAAGGAGGAGGAGCCATCGGAGGTTGTAGGGTTGGACTCTCCACCTCGCTCAGAGGTCGGGAGGAGTGGGGCAAATTGTGCGATAGAGGGAGTGGTTGCGGCTTTCGAGAAGTATTGGGAAGAAGTGATGCCGTTTTGGAGAGATTTATTGGAAACGTTCAAGGAGGAAGGCAACTGGGGAGTTTTGCAACGAAGACTTGACGCTCAACGGGTAGTAAAGTTCCTGCGAGGTTCTTTCCGTTCCGGTCATTGCCAAAGAGTCTTTGCGATGGTGATGGGCCGAATACTCAAGTATAGATTCTACTCGTCATATGCATCGTCGGCCGGCGAGGAATTTGCATATGCTGGGGAATAGTGAAGTGATGCTTAGTTGTGATGTCAGGCTCCCATTCGAGTTCACGAGGCCTTATGTCTGTTGAAGCGGAGCATACTGGAGAGCATTGGGATCTGCGACACTTTGCCCGAGGTACTTCGCTGGGCATTTATCTGTACATTCGCGTGTATTACGTCAGCGTCCGCTCACTTCAGGTTCAGTCTTTGTTCAAGGCGCTATTGGGTCTTTTGCTCTGCGTTTCTTCTCCTCCGATCCCACAGATGTCCTTTCGTGAGGTCATTCAAACTCTCGAAGGGAAATCGGCTCTACCTCCGACGATGGTTCAAGCGAGCGTCGCTCCTTTGGGAATTCCCTTGCCTCTGCTGACCCACGTTCCAAGCCATATGCGACTTTGGACAGTGGACAACCCAGTGTCTCTGGCGCGCAACTTGACCCCGGTTAAGATGCTCGGACGACGTCATCGTGATCATCATCATCATCATCATCATCATCGTCATTATCATTTTCCCGTTGGGATCCTCCATGCGGCGACCCCTGTGGTCGAGCGGAGGTGTTATGTGGGAACGGCAGTTCCGGAACGGTTGACTTTCAATGGATCTTCGTAGCTATCATTAGAGTTAGAGGTCACGGTTGACTTGAATGAATTTTGCATGTCTCGGTGCGCGTATACGTTACACTATGACTACTTGTTATTTGAGATGGGTTGTGGAACGGCATGATTTCCACACTTCCTTGTCGATTGCCGCGTTGATTGGCTCGACGCCATCTTCAGGATAATCGTTCTGATGCCGTTGGGAGATGGTCTCACTTGACTCGCAGCATCTATTGGTACCGTTGAGACTCCATGGTGGATTTGTTATGGATACAGCCTCTTTGGAACATGCCTAGCTCCGTACTGCGAGCAGCATCCATGCGCTACGACGTGGCAAAGGCGCTGAGAAAAGGGAAGAGGCGGCGCAAGCCTGATGAGGACACCGAAAAAGTCGCCACATCTAACTCTAATGGATCACGGGTAGCTAGAGATCGAGCGCAGCGTTATGGTTTGATCATGGCGTCGCTGAGCTGAAGCACGTGATTGTTGGCTTCTGTGTCCCTTCTGTGTCGCTCCGGTCCTACAGAGATAATTCCACTTCATCAGAGACATGCCGCTGGCCATGTGCAGGACTCGAGAGTATCCGAGACCGATCGAATTACTGCTGGTGTGGTGAACAGCAGCCACATCTCATCGTCCTCATGTGACGCAAACCAGTCTGAACAGCAATCAGGAGAGCAAGGCTCCACTTCAGCTTTACCGGTCCAGGGTAGTGATAAACGGTGGGCATGGGAGAACATGTGAAGAGGTGCTTTTTCGTATAGGAAACTTGCTGCGAGAGAAACTATTTTTGGAAGAGGTGAAGGGCGAGCTTCCTAAGGACATGTCGTATGCAGTGGAACAAGGGTAGAAGAAAATAGATGATTTGCGCGCATGATTCGGATCGTGGCGGACTTGGTGAATCTTGCAGGTACCTTCCGTGGACGAACATTGTGACAGTAGTGCAGAACGCCTTACCGGACAAGCCAGGCTGCATCGGCAAGTGTTTCAAGCTCACATTACAGGTGGGACTAGGCCGACAGGAAGTTGAGCGAGAAAGCGCGATTGGTCGGGTACCTTCAGTTGGTTTGTTCTTGTTGTCGGATGTCAGGACTGTATAAGCGAGTTCCTGATGTTTGTTACTCATCTAGCGGCACAGCGATGCACACGAGAAGGCAGGAGAGTGATGCTAGCGGAGGACATCTTGTGGTGAGCATCTAAGTGGAGCACTGTCTCGTCGTGCGTAGGGTATGTAGCAATCCTTACAAAGTGACGAGGATAGCTGCCCATGACCTTTTTACTTGAGTTCCTCGTAGTACGATTCCTGGTGACCGGACTGCTTTCTTGTCGTTGGGTCGTTTTGGAGGAGCTTATGTTATGTCTTTAGGGCGCTGGATCAGGCTGGCCTGTGTCAGTATGGTTCGGTACTTCGTGTGTTCTTGGGTAAACTTCGTGGTCACTTGTCGAAGTCGAGGAGGGATGTGGTGGTCAAGAATGGCTGTTTGAAGTCCCCGGCCGACTTCCCGCCAGTTGAGGAAGAGAAGGGCAGCTCATTGATGTTCCCCGTGGTAATATGATGATCGAATAACATATCGACGTGGTAGATCCAGTTGGTCTCTTGGACTCTGCTGGTCTATTGCGAGATCAATTGACCAACCGATAGCGCTCCGAAGGGGGTTCGTTTAATTGAATATTCACCGCTGAGCTGATGAAATATGCGGGGCGCTCTGACGAGGTCAGCTATCAAGAGCGAAGAAGGAGCACTACAAGCGCTTGTGTATTCACTTGTTGAGACGACTTTTCCGAAACTCGAGGGCTGATTTGGGGATTTCTGCTATGCTGTTTTCAGATGCCAATGTCCCCTACGGAGATGGTGGTTTCGAAGAGCATATTGGCCGGGGACCTAGCTTCGGATGTGAATGATCATCGTGACCAGGAAGATGCGCAATCCACAGTGGCCGTTGAGGCGATCGTTGTGCGAGAGGACTGGGGAGATGAAGAGAGTGCTAGTGATATTTCATTCATCGACATTATCGAGGGGGAGGTTATATAACTGTTTGATAGCATCTTGCATGTAATATTATCACTGATACCTCGATGAGTTGTTTTGTTGAGGATGGGCCGGATTCGTTTTTCTCTCTTATCCATCAAAATGTGGCTAAGTTGCTGGCGATGAAAAATTCCAGAAGATTAGTAGAAACTCAACCTGTTCATCATGTCCGCTCAGCCTCTCCCTGTCGCGAGAGTGGTTCCTATCGGTCCTTCATGCGACCCCTCACCCGTTCTTGAGTCGCTGGGGCTGTCGGAGAGGCAAGCTACTCTCGAATTGGACACCAAATACTATACCTGCAGCATTCACGTCGAGTGCAGCAGCGAAATTGATGGCAAGCCTGCTGAAGCTGTTATTCTAGTGGTAGAGCGGCCCGGCTCCGTCTGTCTTCCAGAAGGTCGCTTTGACGAGTCCGCTGTTAAACTGATGGTCATGATGGGATCGATCACGACGAGAGTTGAAGAGTGGTGCTGGGATAGAGGTTTTGAAGTCGTTGATTTCGACGAGGAGCCAGAGCGGGTTCTCGAGGCTTTGAAGATGCATGACTGGTCTAACGCGGTGTTGAAAATTGAACAGGGAGGCGACGGAGCGAAGCAGAATGATTCGGCTGAGAAGAAGGCTGACGAAGTGAGCATAGAAGAGTTGGACGGGTTGATGAGCCAAATCAAGGCAGCTCATGATTCGGCACTGCAGGCTGGCTCTGACGCAGAAAGGAGGCAGCGGGCTGAGCAGCTCACGATGCGGTTAATGCAACTCATGGGGTCGGACAGTGAGGATGACGATCCCTGATAGTTTCGGACTGCGGCCGAGTTGAGTTTTGCAGCGCGAATCGCGTCGATCTATCGTAGGTCGATCGTGAGGTTCCCTGATGTGATTTGTACATATTTCCTATATTTTTTCTACATATCTGTGGACCACCGACTCTGTCAACGGTTGTTTGGTAGCGTTTTTTCTTTATAATGCAACACGGCCGGCGTAAGTTGTCACACGATGAGATCTCTTCGGAGCAGAAGTCGTTGGACAGGGAGAAAGCAGCTAAGGCGTTGAAGCTCATGCATGATGTATTGGAAGCTAGGAAAACCTGGTGAGCCTCCGAGGAAAAGGAGGAGCGCAGTGAACCTTCGTGATATAAGTGTATAATTTCGAGGAATCAGTACTGTAGAGGGCAGGTCACTTGTAATTTCACATGGGAGGCTATTCGGCTCGCGTGTGAGAGTGCGGAGCACCTGGGAGTATCAACGATAGTCGTCGAACCCCAGTGTTCGGTTCACTCGAGTTTTGTTTTCTTGTCAGTGAGGAGATGACTCCAGAAGTGAATGGGCTGACTATGAAGGCCTTGCAGATCAACCCGGAGGTTGCCACGATTTGGAATTTCCGGTAGTATCTTCAGCCTCAATACAGTGAATTTACTCTCGCAAATTCGCGGGGAGCTATCGATGGTGTCGTCAGGCGCGATTTGCTCTCTCGACTCCCCACATCCTTGCGAGTGCCTGCTTTGGAGAAGGAGTTGGAGTTACTCAACATGGCCACCAAACTGTAGGTGGCTCTTGTCCACTGTATCACGACTACTACGTTTACGATACTGTGCTTAGTTTCTTCTCGACGTTAGGACGCTTTCTAACTATAGAGTATTATCACGTCCAGTTGTGAACTTATGATATACCGTTGACGATCCGAATGAACGCTCCTAGAAATTAAGATTTGCTTTCACGCATTCTGGCTCTGTGCGTCATCACTGGGCGGTTCACATGATTGACGTTTGACACTACTTCGATTTAGTATCACCAAATCCTACTGTGTATGGCATCAGAGGAGATGGGTCGTAGATGAACTCCTTGATCTCCTGTCGACCAACAGTCCGGTGGATGAAGGTGAGTCCATTTGTCTGAAGTGGCCATGGAGTGGTATGGTCAAGAATTATCCCGACAATATTGTCGCCCTCAGGCAGCAGTGAGCAGCAGACTCCAGAGAGGTTGATAGCGAGCGAGCTGAGTGTCATTGATAAACTATTGTCATACGATGGCCGCAACTTCCATGTGTGGAACTACCGAGCGTAAGTCGATGCTCGATGGATCCTAAATAGTTCTAAGTAATCGTAACACGGTCCACACTATCACTCGCTGTCATCCAGACTATCATTCCCGATTGGACCTATCCCGCATCCGGTCTCGGAGTGCTATTTCTGACTTCCTCTACCAAAACACAAAATTCACCGTTCCCATTCGATCTGATCGTTGCTCGACATGCTGGAGGTTTCACTCCGTATTGTTTAGACCTGCTTGTGGTATCGATATATAGTCTTTGACTTATCACAAGTCTATGCGGTATCGCTCCGTCATTTGTGAGTTTTCCTTGCAGTTTGGGTGGGTGGACCGCAGAGCTGTTTCCGTCCAATAGTGACCTCTTTGGCGTCCTTCATGTGCTCGTTAGGTTCTTGCTCTCGCATCCAGCTTATAAAGGAGATAAGACCAAGCTCGATCGAGAGACGAGTCAGCGGCTCATCGATCAGAATTTCAGCAACTATTCTGCCTGGCATCTTCGCAGCACTTTGAAGGACTTGGATGTTCATGAGGAGCTCGATTTGGTAAAGCGTAGGGGAGGTATATGCGGTAGAGGTGTCCTTCCTGACACTCATTGTTTTTGAGGATGCTCTCGTTGGAGTACTCGAACTAGGAAGTACTAGAGAAGCCTATGCAGTCTTAATACTAGGAATTATGAAGATTGGTCATTAGTCATGCGGGGAGTTGTGCATTTCTAGTTGATAAGCATCGACTCAATGGGAGTTGTATTTGATAGGTCCGTCAAGCGTACTATACCGAGCCGAATGACCAATCTGTCTGGCAGTATCACAACTGGCTCACAATAGCCGCTATGGGAGAACACAAACCTGGCGACGAGTAGGCAGTGTCGATACGCACGGAACTGACCTGAATCGGTTGAATCGAGAAGGCGTTGTCGGTCGATAGCAGTTTGAGACCATATGTTCGTCAGGGAGCGCCTATTTGTATGAGTAGTTGAGTCACTGCATACTGGGCCTTCCAGAGTGTTTAAAGGAGAACCCCTCCACAGGTATACTTCCGAGCAGGTTGGTATTCTGAGGGATGAGTTGACTTCTGTGGAGGAGTTGCTGCAAGTTGAAGCTGATGCTAAGTAGGATTAGAGCGGCTGATACTGAATCGATCGGGCTACTTTACATTACGTTGCGAGGGTGTTGATATCGCAGTTTACAGATGTTTTCATATCCTCACTACTGTCAGTTAAGGATCACATTGGAACACTTTATTGTGGCCTTAGATATGCGCTGTTAACAAAGGCGAAGATTCTTCGAGCCTTGGATGAGGAGAGCTCGAAAGATGAGATTAGAGACATTTTCCTCAAGTTGGAGGAAGTCGATCCCGTCCGAAAAGGATTTTATAGGGATTGGCTGCTGGCCAAGTGATTGACTCAGAAGCTTCCTCTATATCGGACCGTCAGCTTGCGTTAAGCACTATTCGTTTTCACCAGTACTGCTGTCCCGGGGTCAAGATTTCCGCTGAGCTGTTTCGAAGGGACAGCGCTACACAATGGAGTCTGCTAGAGTGATCGACTTATGTATACCTTCTTAGTGGAGTCCAAATTGCATATCGATCGCTGGAGTTTCTTTACTGTTTTAATACCACAATGCTGTCGTTGGTCCCAAAGCCTCGGAGTGATATATCAGAACTGGCCGCTAAGGTGAGTGAACTTGGGCTGTCTTTCGTATGCAATTTAATCATATCACAGATATCAGCTCGTATCGCGGCGAAGGCGGGTCCCCCGGTCGTGGTTCGCAGTGTTGGCGATTTCGTCGCTCTCCACAACACTGACGTTTTCAGAGGGCTCAGCGTCGGTTTCGTAAGTGGGTCTTGTGAGGGGGACTATCCGCTAGTAGAGACAGCAGTAGAACAGAAGAAGGTTTGATCAGCCCAATGGCTGTACCGTAGCTCTCGATTGTCGCTGGGTCTCGAGTATTGTGATAGCACTACGCAAATTGTATAGCCCTCAGCGTATGCGGTATCTATATTGCCAACGGTGTGCTGTAATCGATAGGGCTGTGATTTGTTCGTCTATTGGTCTTCCAAAGGGCGCAAGCTCGGATCATTCCTCTCATACTGGAACATCGACCTGCGCCTTGTCAGCAGCTCGTGCGTATCATCGAATTGGGCACTACTGTCGTTACGATGGTCGTCTCTCAGGTGCCTACGATGGGTTCTCTCCACTCGGGCCATATGAAGCTCATTGCTACTGCGAGGCCCAATCATGATGTTCTTGTGGTATCGATATTCGTCAACCCAGCGCAGTTCTCCCCTGAGGAGGACTATGAACAGTAAGTATCCATAAATCACTAGGAGTGTGACACAGTGGAAATCGTCTTTGATGAGGCTAGTGACTTGTCCATGGGGTTTCACATGTAGGAATCGAGTGGACGTAGCATGCTATCTCTCGACGAACCGTTGCTTTCCCACTACATTCGTTATCAGGTATCCCAGGGATCTCGAGGGCGACCTCAAGAAGCTCGAAACCGAATCAGCTGGTGTCGATGTTGTCTTTGCGCCGGAGCCTGCTGATATGTATCCGAAGAATCCACGAGCGATAGTGGTAGTATTGGGAATGCTCGGTTGTTTCAATGCTGTTGAGGTCTCTGAATTGTTCCGTTTTCCAGCCCAGCGTAACGGTCGAGCCTAATTTCGTGAATGGCCTTTCGGAAGCAGCATGCAGGCCGACGTTCTTCCGCGGAGTGGCCACTGTTGTTATGAAGTTGTTCAACATAATCAGACCCGAACGAGCATATTTCGGACAGAAGGTGTTGCGAGGCGCTCTTGAGGAGTAGAGCGACGTCGATCTCCTGCAGGACGCTATGCAAGTCAGTGTTATCATTTCTATGGTCAAGGACTTGAATGTTCCAGTTGAACTCGAGGTGGTACAGAAGCAGGGGTCTCGAGCATCACAAGCTTCGCTCCGTCGTCTCAGGTGGTTCCGACAGCTCGGGAGGCGGACGGCCTAGCCTCCAGCAGCCGCAATGTGTATCTCACCCCGGCAATGCGAGAGAAAGCCACCATCTTATACAAGTAGACGCTCGCGGCTGTGAGGAAGGTCATCCGTGATTAGGTCACTGTGTGCTGCTTACGACATGGTGAAGTCGGCGAGCAAGCCTGTGAAGGCATCCGAGGTCGAAGATGTGGTCAAAAGGACTCTCCTCGCTGAGCCCATGGTCCTAGGGATTGAGTAATGCCAGATCGCCGAGAGCTCAGAGTGGTCGCTCTCGCCATTTCCTGACGATCGTGGCTTAGGTATATTAGCGTGGCTTCTGTCGAGACTGCGCAGGAAGTGGAGACCATCCAGTTCGGACCTGAGGCAGAGCCCGTACTACTACCAGAGCGGTGCGGTGAGGGGTCATGGTCATCGGCTCAGGTGCTGGTCGCAATTGCTGTGAAGTACGGCGGTGCCAATCTACGCTTGATCGATAACATGTGGATGGACAACCAGAAGCACGCATAGATGCGCTGTTTCCGCATTATAATGCAGTATTCCTAACTTTACCAAGGAAGCAGAAATGCTTGGCGAACAACTCCTACAATGTTCTCGGATGAGACTCTCGGTTGCGTTAGTGAGAGTAGAAGGGAGGGAGCAGTCACGATGGTAGGGCAAACCTCTTCATGCAGTTGGAAGATACTTGGGCTGTATTTATCTCGGATGTTATGGCCGCTGCTTCTCACAGGCGGCGGACTCGTCGGTCTCAACTATCATGCGGCCAAGGAGCTCGAAGACAGCAAGGGCTCTAGCAGGTACGAGTGCTTTATACGAAATAAGATAAGCTTTATGGCGAGATTTCATTGTGAATTCGATGCTATTGGGATCTTCATTTCTACGTATTACATTTAGCTGGTGATTTCAAACTAGCGCGCACATGCATTACATCCCGACAGTGTGCTTTCTGGAGGCCGCCGTTTGGGAGATGAGGCATGAGCGCATTGTCTGACTTCAGTTCGTCCCGGACCGCTACTTTCATCCCCACGTTCGCGCTTGGGCTCATCACTGGTCTTTGGATGGGAGTCACGTTTGGACCCTGGTTCTCACGGGTGAGGAGCTGTGCTCTCATAGGATAAACTGAGTCGTCTCTGACTGCATGCCTTGCTCAGACTTGGTCGACTGTAGACTCTTGGTTACGTTGGTTGCGATTTGCCCCGTCCCTCCCACCCTCGAGATCCAACGAGCCGCCGCCCCCTCGCAGCGACTACCCCTATGGACACCCTTACTCATCACAACCCGTCCCACCATCGTATGGGCAGCAGGGCCCACCATCTTATGGCCATCCCTACGCTGGGGACCCCCACTATCAACAGCAGATGAGCGGTGGACAAGCGCCGCGTTATGCGTGACTTCTCCACAATTACACGGTGACTGCACTGCCAGCATAGTGATGTAGGATATATATGCATTCAGTATCATTTGATAAAACCTCTGTCCGGCGAAACTCCGCTTGCGTTCCAACCAGTAGTGTTGATAGAAAAACACCTCTCCAATATATATGCATTCAGTATCATTTGATAAAACCTCTGTCCGGCGAAGCTCCGCTTGCGTCCCAACCAGTAGTGTTAATAGAAAAACACCCCTCCACTATCACACAACGCAGGAAGCCGCTTGAGAACAAGAATGGAAATCATGGCATTCAGTACTTTCTACGTGAAGCCCCATTACACTCGTTGTTCTGTGGGAGGCTGGACACTCTAGTAGGCCGAGAATCAACAGGTTGCCCCGTCCTACGACCGTGATTATTGACCTGCCACCAACTCGCTAGGTGGGAGCGCCGAGAAATGAACCCACCGGCTTCCGCTTGGGATCGCATTTTTTCTTTGGAGCAGAGGCCCGTACCAATGGCAGAGAATCATTATTGATCTAATGCCGCGCACTTCCTCGTGGGCCGGCGGCTGATCTCACCCGTTTGATAAAGGCTGCGTACTGAGCCTGTTGTCGACTGATGACACCTTTGCCTTGAGCCTCTGAGTAGTTGATGCCGAAGTGGCATAGAATCAAGTCGTTGGGCGGAGGTTGACGCCAATGCTTGATGAGAAGAGGCGACAGGTCTTCTTCCGACAGGTAGCACGCCGAGTCGGCAGCATCGTCCTGAAGGGGACGCTTCCGTACGACTTTTCATAGTATATAAACCTCGGGTTTTCGGTCGATGGGAAGCTTCCTGGAACGCGCAAGTGGTTGCCTGAGACACTCAAGCAGGTCGCGAAGCTGGCAGACCAGATGGTCGCTGTGGGGGTCTCCTGAGCGCGAGGTCTCGTCGGGATTGACCGGGATGGGAAGCTACGGGATAAGGCATCTAGTTGATCCTCTATCACTTGTTCGATACCCAGGGCATCTAACTCGCGTCTCATGTCAACTGAGAGAGCAAGCTGATCCTGGTCACGAAGCCATCTTACGGGAGGTCTCCGATGGTGCGCCGACTAGAAGGTAGCCGATGAGCTCATACGTCGACTCACAGATGATATTGTCATCAGAGGCTATCAGAGACACCAAGATCTGCACTCGCGCTCACTGAAGCGTTGTTGAGCTTAGTATACCCCTAGGAAGCCATGGTCGCTGCTGAGCCTTCTGATGCCCTCTTGGCGGGTGCAGAGACACACCACCAGTGCTAAGCCCCATCGAACGCCGAATCGAGACATCGTGCCCTGCTCGATACGAGTCATCATCTCCTCCACCAAATCTGAGGCGAATGCTCCAAGTGGAGGGCCGCCGGCGGATAGTTACTCTCTCGCAGCATAATCGTCTGGGCATGGTAGCGCATGGAAAGCCTTTGCAGTGCAGCCAGGGAGTGCATGAATGCTGGGGAATCATAGGGGGCCTGTAGCATGTTGTGGACCAGCTGTATGAGAACCTGTATGGCAGTGGCCACCCAGGACAGCTCTGCTCTAGACCCACGCCGGATTCAGCGGCCATGAACCAGCGCCCTATGGCCTCGCAGGAGATGATGGCTATAACACACGCTGTGAGATCAGACACTATCACGTCTGGACAGCGAAGGAGGTCCAAGAGGAGGGGGTCGCCAGTCGCTGCCAGGTCTCCAAAGGCCTGCCAAAAGGGCAGTCTAAGGCTGTCAGCAGCGGAGGCCCACTACCCCCAAGCCAATGAGGCCAAAAATGCATGAACGCCGCTTGCGGATGGGCTCGTATGGCGAAGCAATGTGGCGAACCATCGAACGGAGCTGGAGGAAAAAGATGACAACGGTGAGCGGAGCGATTCTTACAGCGGGTATCATGGCTTCAGTAGAGTCCCGCATACTGTGGAGGTAATGAGAAAGCTGTTGAATGTCTATAGGGGGGCATTGGACTGGTGGGACTGCCGAGGCGAGAGCAGCAGCGGCGTGCCCTTCTTCGAGACTCTGAGTAGACCAGTTCGCTCCAGATTTAATGGCTTTCGATATTGCCACAGTCAAGACGTACTTGGCGATGGCCGAGGTCCCTTCGCCTCGACTGGCCAGCACTGGATGGCGTGCCTGCAGGGAGCCGCCATATGCGAGGTCAGGTAGTTCGAACATACGAGGGACTGGGAGTCTGTCGATGGGCAACCCTTCGAGGCCCTCCAACATTTCATGTTCGAAGGCTGGGTCTCTTGAGTGGTCTGCTGAGGGAGCCGTACCTAGACCAGCTGCTGGTGTAGCTAGAATGGACCTCTCGTACCAAGCAACATCGCTTTTGATCCCGTCCTCATGCGCTCGAGTTGCTGATGGGCCTCCATGACCTACACATCAAGCATGTCTCGTAACACTCTGGGCTCCTCATCCGAGTGGCCACCTTCCTCGGGTCGTGGAAGTACTCAGAGCTCGGGTCACTCTGTAAGGCTCTGAGACCAATTTCTGCCAATCGGTAGAGGTCAGCTGCCATCTCAGGGTCCGCGGCCGAGCCATGCAGGGATGCCGAATCACCCTGGGAGGAGGTTCTGATGGGTTCGTCCATGGTAGGCTACCATGGCATAGCCGTAGATCTCCGCTTTCGTCGCGGCATTGTTAGGGGAGAAGCCGTGATCCACCTGTTGCACCTTCGCAATCGAGTAGACCAAAGGCACCTGAACTACTGCGGACTGTAGACATCTCACTCAGGCCTGTACGGTCGCACCCGTCTCCTCCCTGGCGGTATGTCAGCGATGGTTCTCTGAAGCTCCGCACGTACGTTGGCCCTCCATTGCTCAGTGAAGATCTAAGACGACTCTACGTGGCCTGCATTCCTTCTCGGACTACTTGCTGGGTCAGCTCGTGCGTGTGCGGCGCGTCGATATAAGGCAGCACATAGTAGGGCATGAGTTCGTTCAAGCTGTCGCTGGAGAGTCGCCTTTGCTTCCCGAGGAAGGCCGTATAGGCACTCCAGTCATGGTCCGCCTGGGACCTGATGAGTCCATCGCCTGGTGTGGTCCGGTCGAGAGGTACCGGTTGATTCTGGATATAGGGCGGCGACCCTTGGTGGCATCCAAGCATGCCTTCGAGAAGAAGTACACTCGGAGCCGGAACTCCAACAGGGACTTCTTCGCTCGAATCTGTAGCGAAGATGCTGAGGGACTTCCCAGAGCGTACCGACTGTTTGCGGTATAGACGATTGCCATAATAGGAAGAACGTTGATTGGTCGCCTTTGTCGAAGGCAGCAAGAAGCCCTCGTCCGCCGGGCTCATACGGTAGCTCAGTCGATCCCCCGTTCCTTCCTGTTCCAAGCTCATAGGAATACAAGAAAATCTCCGTGCGGATACCTGATAGTGTCCCACTCTCCCGCACTCTCAAGGCCTTGCTTTCTCGAGTGAAGATATCGAGTGTCTCTATCAAGCCATGATGTGCCAAGTATCTAGCTTAGCAGGGCTCGTCTGTGACGACATTAAGACAACCTCTACTCCTTCACAGCCTCGATAACGATGAGCTCAGTCATCTGGTTGCCGAAATCGAGAGTGGCTGAGGCCGATAGGATCCATCGCCGCCGCCGGCTTACGCATGTAGACCCACTCCAACCGTCCAGCTCCATGTTCGCGCCCTCGCGCTCAGCTCCATCAATTCGCTCGTCACAATTGACCGCTCTGCTCATGCATTGCGGGTCTTCGGCATTCTCCGTCTCTGACCGTGCTGAGGGTTGGTCGACCACTTTTCTTTTTCCTCTGCAGCGTTCCTTACCAGGCTCAGTTGTTGGTTCCGATGCAGGACCTTTGCCAGGACCACTGACTGTCAAGCTATTGCCAAGCGAGTTCTCCGTTGCATCATCACGCGCTAGTGATGTTCTCGGGGCGGCCTCGATAGCACTGCCATTCACCGCGCTGTCAGCGGTGCTCATGGTATTGCCGTTACTTCCGAGCAATTGCAGGTTATCATCCGAAAATTGACAACACTGAATTCGGCAATGGTAGAAGCTTCAGTAAAAACTCAGTCCCAATGGAGCAGCTACTAATGATCGAGTTGAGGAATATACTGTTGAGCGATAGCGCCGCACAGGAAGGACTCCTCCTCGGCGAATTCGTACTCTCCCTGCGCTGACTCCCAATAGGGAGCGCCGTCATCGTCAACCCCGGCTCCATATTGATAGCCACCAAAACTGCCTTCAGTGGTTGGTAGACAAGTAGAATCGTAGAAGCTAGATGGAGTCTGGGCATTATAGCCGTAAGTAGCAGCAGCTTTATCGGGCCCTGCAGGCCAGGTCGTCGAGGTGACGCTGTACTTACCGACCTTGTAGAGGCCCCCCGGGGTCCACCACATAACATCGTCAGAGAGCACGATGCGGTTGTTGGGTGTTATTCTCTCCATCGTTTGGGCGCCGACGTCCCTGCAAACCTGTGATGAACCGGTGTCTGCAGTTGCCCAAGGGCGTCCTATCCCACTGTATGAGGTCGTCGTCTGGTCTCGAGTCTCTCCTTCTCGTTGAGCTCAAGCTTAGCCCGAAGGAGTTCGCTGCGCAACGCCTTCTCTTCCTCAGTGGGGAGATCATCGCACTGAGTGCCGACAGCCACTTGATGACGCCTGGTGTGGACCTGATCCTACTGTATGAGCGCACAGTGCCGAAGGCCAATTCCCGACGAGATGCTTACGCTGCTCGTAGGCTTGCTATCTCGGAAACCCAGGGAGTTGACAGTCTTCCGCAGCTCATCGCATTGGTCCGTCAAGTTACGGATGTCCCCTCGTTGTGCCTTGGAGATTACACATATACCCCGACACAGACGAGGACCTCTTCAAGTGACCTCACATCTTACTAGGATTTCGTCGACCAGCCACTGGTTGGTTCGCATGAGAATATCAAGCTTGCTGTGTAGTTCTTCGAGTCGCGCCGGGTCTATGATGGGAGATGGAGCAGCATACCACGGCGGAGGTGGTCTCCGATGTTCGGCACTGGAGACTATGCTCGGGGCTGGCTCTGACTCCGGGTCGTTCTGGTCAAGCGGTAGTTGTCCTTGGTAATACATCATTACTAAGCATACACTTACGGATCGGAGACAATTGACCGCGAGAAAACCAAGAAGGTTATGATAGAAGTCTGCGGTTTCATGAACGGCTGACGATATTCCAGAGGTGATCCAACTGCGGCCACAAGGCGAACAGTTTCTGCTACGGACCATCGGGCAGCATTTCCTCCCCCATCATCACGACAACTAACACGATTATGGTTGGACAGAAAATACCGTTTAGAGAGTCGATGATAATGGCGAGTTATTGGGAGCTAAACCGTAGTAATCACGATGCCGACGTGTTGTGAATGCCCTTCCCAGTCCGCGAGGAAGTTCTCCTCGCTACCTTTCTTCATTACTGAACGCGATGTGAAATCGCTATTGTGCTCCTCATCTGTTCGCCCACCAACAGCTTCATTCAGTTCCTACTGCCTATTTCGACGTCCAAATTCGTGGGTTCACGAATTGGGGGGGAGTGACTTCATACTGGAGCTTCGACCCAGTGCTTGAAATCACACGTGTTGGATGGAGGCACTGACGTCTTGTCGGCAGCTGCTTTCACCGGCTTTTTCTGTCTTATGTTTCCGAAATAGAAGAATTCTCCCCCTGAATGCGACAACTGCAAGCGGCCTACAACAGTCGAGTTTACTCCCAATCAGTTTGCAGCCAGAAGACCACGACCCCCAAAACTAATGCTGATGTAGGTGCCGCTCCGCGACTCATTCCATCGCCAGGCGATCGAGTAGAGGTCCGAGCCGATCATCGCCTCCCCTATCGCCTCTCTCGCTAATCAGTATTCTGTTATGGTCGGAGCCCTTTCCGGATGCCGATCGAGTCGCCAACGTGACTTCATTACTGCTGCACGTTTTTGAGGCCTACCTCGCCTTATCAGTAATACGAATCGCATCGGACCCACCTGTTACGTAATCCCACGATATGTCCTAGTACAGTTCATTTCGCGGAAGCACGCGATAGGAAGCGATCAAAATCCCGGAGCTCCATTTGTGAATTGTTAGACGGAGAAGTCACCTCTGGTTGCTTCTGTGGAGACTTCAATGATTCCTCTAACTACCCCATAGGATACTCCCTACCCCCAGTAGTGGCAGTGGGAGTACGTCGGCTGGCGGAATTTGCCAATGCACTACTGTTCGTAGCTGCCCCCCTTCCTAATGTTGGTTTGACGTAAGGATATTGTGAAACTTAGTGCTCTGGTCCAACATTGGGGGGACGACCCGCTGAGTCACAAGTTTTGGTACTGTCGAGGGAGGACCTAATGGGGCGAGCAGCAAGAAGACAGTAAGATTGAGTTGTCGCGGAACGAATACACCACAGATGGATGCTGGGACGGAGTCGCGCTTTTGTTGTGAGCTCGTTGTTGGACAGAACTTGATAACTTGGATCGACTTGAATTTCCTCAGCGCGGCTCCCTGCTTATTTTCATACACACTGGCTAGCCTGTCCTTGTCCTGACTTCCATTAGAATAGTTTTACCGAGAAGGCAATGGCAGCATCAACAGCATCGATGGCCAGTGGAGGGCCAATGTCCCCCGGGCAAAACTTTTTGGGCTGTAGCATTTCGGTGAAGACCACCAACGGGGATACGTTCCGAGGCGAACTTTTCTGGTACTGCCATGAAGTAACGGCAATTTGAAATGATGTTTATGTAGCTACGACATATCTGATTCCAATTCGATCGTTCTGCGAGAGCTCGTTGGTAAAGATAAGTGTACATACCATTGGATAAAGACGAGTAGTAGATCGGGGATATGGGAAGCGGACCTATTTTGAATCATCTTCGAGTGAACCTAAGATACCTTTCTCTGCAATCGATATTGAAGAAGAAGTTGATGTGGTCTATTGCTTCGCAGATACTATTCGTGACATCAAAGCACTGAAGCCGCCAACTGCTACTGACTCTCCGCTCCCCCACATAGACCTCAAGGCGGTAGTAGTGGGGCTCGGGAGCTTCTGTTGGTGCGGTATGATCATTTATATATCATTCTTAGCTTCAAGCGCAGATGACCGATGCTGAGCATAACTTTCAGGATACTCGGGAACGTTATGGGGTCGGTGTAACACAACTTGCGCAGGTAGTAGTGGTTATAGTTGTAGTAGTAATACTAGTAGGAGTAGTAGTAGTAGTAGCAATGATGATAAGTCTGCATTGTGGACATCACATCTCTATAGTCGAGCCTATTGTGTCTCGTAGACTGTGTTCGACCTTATGTCGAAGACAATGCCGTGTCGATGGGATGGCCAAGATATACTATGTTATACTGTCCGTATCAAGAGCCCTTACCAAGCTGCCAACTGCACAGGTAGTTTGCCTTGTCCATAGCATCACACATGGAGATCATTCTCAGGGCCGAATAGCAGTGAGCTTGATCGAGTAAAGAAGGTTCTTGAGCTGGAGCGGTTCAAAATGGAGAAGGAGGAGAAAAAGCACAGTAATGTGGGAGGCCGCTGATGAGCCGTACCACTCCTTGAGTAAATAGTAACATTTCAGGCTGACTTCATGACTGGGAGTTCAAATAATGAATTTGTGGTTACGATGATGGTGATGGTGAAATGCGCTCATACTCCTCGGTGGTGGTGGCCGCTGTGGCTAAATGTATCTATCAGCTTATTCAGTACCAACCGATGGTGCTGCAGTGCGCCATCTATCGTCTATCCGCGAAGTTATTTCCACCCAATCACTGCTTACCGAGTTTAAATGGTATTTATATAGTATAGGGTGTGGGAATCGAACCCGATATCAAGTGCATGATAGGGTGTTGGTTTTCCCTGTTACGCTAGAATGATTAATCAGCCAGTGGGTCAGAAGAGACTCACGAATATCGCCATCGTGTCGATGAAGAAGAAATGCAAGAAGAGGGAGTATAAGTAGTACACTTGTGAAGTTCCTTCCGTCCGTGTTGACATCTCGGAATGCCCTGTATGGTCTAGGTTCGAGATAGCATGCTATCCTAATAAGGTGGTGAACTCGCGACAGGGCATAGAAACTGATCTAGATGAGGTTAGCACTGGGAATAATTTTGTGGCGCGTGACTTTTCGTTGCAGGTATTACAGTCTGAAGCTGTATATACTAATGTTTCTCGAGGGGATCGGGCACTGGCTAAAGACTTGAAGGCGTGTTTTGGTACTACGGATCAGAAGGAAATCTGTAAAGAGATCCTCATGCATGGCACGCTACAGGTAAAGAAAAAGTGCAGAGTGCTCGGATCGAACCTGGGTGGTATTAAACTACAGTCGTACTGTCAGATCACTGGCACCGAGAGAGAATTCTTCCACGAGTCTCGCACTAACGAGGTAATTACACAGCTAGCCGAGATGTGTATCGACTCGAGGACGGGATTCCCCTTGACCAAGGATCAGATATCCTCAGCCCTTCAAGACATCAACTACCAGGTAGTAGCTGCTTCGCGTGATAAATTATCACTGATAGTTAACTCGATTACGATTTTAAGCTCGAGTGTTAACTCGGTTCACTGAAAAAAAATTACAGAATATTATCACTGATAATATTCTGTATTTTTTTTGTTCATCTCTGATGGTTCGGTATGTGGCGTTGCTTGCCTGACGAAGGAAATTGTGGGGCTTTATGGGAAAATGCTCAGGTCAGGATGGGTTTGTTGTCTAAGGTACGAGTGGGGGCTCAGACGATGACAGCGTTGAACAAGAGTAAGAAGGAGGTTAATGAGGCTAAGCTGCAAGCTAGGGAGGCAATGAAGGCCTTAGAGGAGAAGATGCCAGAGTAGCAGCACTTGCGCACTCGGAAGAATTTGTGCATGCGTGCAGAAAGTGTATCTTTGAACTTGGATTTATCCCGATTTTCAGTCGGATAGTGCGAGCTTCGATGCGCATACGTGTAGTGCATCCAGGCGAGGACGAGACGTTTGATAATTTCATGGCGAAAGTGAAGGAAGCCCTCAACTCGGAAGGGGAAGCATCTCCGGTTTTCGGGAAGGTTGACTCGATGCACAATGACGGGGATCGACATATCCTGCAGATCACGTGTCATCCAAGGTAGCTAGGCTCTAATACGAACTCTCCTTACTGTGATCTCAAGTTGGAGGTGGATCGCCTTGTTACGATATCAGTTATGGTTATTATGAATTTGAGTGGTAAACTTAATTGGAATGTTTGATTTGTTTCAGCTTGTATCGGCCGATCGACCAGCTGTGCAAGGAGGAGTACCCTAAGGGTAGCAAGAGCGTTGTGAGTATACAGATAGTGTCTAGTAGAGTTACGGGGCCGGAGGCAGCGCTACGTCCGCTACGAAAGGTAGTCTCTATCTTGGTCGCGGCATGGCTATTGGTGGTGGCCTTTAACCGCCCCCAAAAAAATTATGGAAAACTCTATGATATTTCCTGGAAGATTTTTTCGTTGTACTTGAGACCGTATTGTCTTCGCCACGATTAGAAAGTTGCATCGCTCCGTCATTTCAGGGCGTTGCTTCTTCTAATCCGGATACGTCATCATCACCAGAGTCATCAGTTGAGTCGTGCAATCCGGCTCCTATGGTTGCCCGGAAGGGCCCACAGTGTCGAACTTGTGATGTGCAGCAGTTCGACTCAACTAAAGAGTTCAGGGATCATGTCAAGTCTGATTGGCACCTTATAAATGTGAAGCGAGAGGTAGGTGGAGTTACTGCAGTTTGCTATTGAAATGCGGTTGGAAAGTGCAATCACTTTGGTGACCCTGCGAGCGGCATTCACACGCGTTATATAAGGGATCTTCTTTCGTATGTTCGCTGAAGCAGATCGATGATTGTTATTATACGGTTGCAACAGGTGACCCTGCTCTGGTGTAGTTCTCTTTTTCAGTTGAAGCATCTACCTCCACTGGGCCACCTGGAGTTCGAGATGCTGCCCCCTGAGGTCCGAGCGAACTTCAGAGCTGTTGATAGTTGAATGCTGCCGTCATTGTCTTCGCTTGTGCATTCCTAACTAAGTTCATCGGGTATCTCTGCCTTGAGTTGGGATATTTTGGCGCATCATATAGTGAGGTCCCAGGTTCGATCCCTGGTGACGTCGTTTTTCCGAATTCTGCAGAGACTTCGCGGATATCGTGGATCTGAACTATCATTGAGAGAGAGTTTGTTGTTATAGGTTTGTTGTTGAGCACCGATAGAACCTCCTACGTCCGTCCTCCTACCTCATCATGCATCGTCAGCATCTGGTGGTGGAGGGGGAATATGGAAGTGGTGACCTCCTACTACCCTCTACGGGTGTCTATACCGCGGCAGCTGCAGCAGCAGTCATACCAGCAGCTGGGTAGTATGGGAGGCGTCTTCTGATGCGTTTGAGAGTACTCGGTGTTGGAGTATATGTTCGGTTTTCCTCAGCTGGGCTCAAGAGTTTGCTGACTAATTATAGGAGTTTATATATGCAATAGGAAAACAAGAAATTCTTGAAATTTCCTCAGCATTTTCATATTGTGAACCACACATGTAGTTGACCATGTGCATATTTTCCCGCTGTGGGGTTTGTTTCCTCGTAGCACGCGGTGAAGTCGTTGTTGATGCCAGTCTCTGTGGTTGGAAATGTCTATAGGGCAGCTGAAATCACTGGTGTTGGGATGTGTAGTTGTGAGCCTCCTCTTTCTATTCAGTGGGTTATACGTGAATACGCCTCACGTACCCATTGGAGGTCTAAGAGGCTGCAGCAGCTTACTTGCTGGTGGCGGTCATGCCTTCCACACTGCTACTTCTAGTATGGCGACATATTTGGGCCAGTGTTTGACGCTAGGACAGTTGCATACTTTGGCTGGGGCTACAGGTAGTAATGGGTAATATGAATGTGTGATGTGCATGCTCGCGCGTTATTTGACAATAGGATAGTTGCATAAAGTGAAGATCAGCGTGTCGTTGTGGATTATATTGCCATCGTTGTTGTGTTTCGTTGTCATCGAGATGTAGATCAGTCGTAGGTTGCAAATTTTGCAATACGAAAAAGTGAGAAATGGCAGAAAAAAAATCCGAATTGTTCGAAGGGGATGTACAGTGCAATGGTGATGGTCCGACATTGGTGTTGTTTTCAGCCTCGTTCGTGGCGGTGATATCGTCTTATCCATTGGACTTGATGAAGAATAGAGTAGCTTCTGCATCCCTTTACAAGTCCCCTTTGGACTGTATGAGGATCACATGGAAAAATGAGGGTTTTAAAGGTAGGGACCTTTGAACCTTGAGACGTTTCTTTGTGAATTCTATCAGGCTTTTATAAAGGAGTATCGTCGCCTATGATTGGGGACGTGGCGATTGGGATGACAGCCTTTGGAGTGTATGGGTATATGAGTACTCGCCTTAAGCAGAGTTCTAACAATTCGTTCAGTCCGACCAAAACGGCCGCTATTTCTGGTGTGCTACTGTGGTCAATTGTCGACAAAATGTTGCTGTTGTTTTCAGGCGGGACTGCGGGCCTGGCAGCTGCTGTGATTGGATGCCCTTTCGAAGTGGTTAAGCTTCAACTCCAGATGCAGTACGTGCGAGGCCTCAGCGCTTCTATCAACGTTGCTTCGTCGGAGTATACGTCAGTAGTGAATCACGTAAGTAAACCGTGCGTATATACAATGAAACGGTTGATCGATTTGGAAATTTTTTGAATTGTCTCCATTCAGGCCGTTGCAGTCCGTCGGGCTGAGCATCTCGGTAGTGTGTATAGAGGCCTTGTTGATTGCGTCAAGCAAGTAGTAAAAGGATGCCTTACGTTATTTTCGGGCGAGCGCTTTTTCAATTACGTAGGTGGTTGGGTCTCGCGCCTATAATATGGGTTTAACTGCTATGTGCATGCGTAATGTAGTGGGATGGAGCATCTCATACCCTACGTTTGAGTATCTGCGGAACTGCTTTGCAGAGTAGGGGTATCTTAGGTTGTCTCGTGGATGATTCGGAATTGGTCAGGCACATGTTTGGCGATTTTAGTGAACAGTCTGTAGCGAAATTGCCTACATGGTCGCTGATGCTCTCGGGCGGAATCAGTGGATCGATATTTTGGACGGCTGTGTTCCCTATGGACGTTATCAAGGCGAATATGCAGGGCCAGAAAATTAATGGTAACATTTGCACGCATGCGCATACCAAAGGGGAATTGGTAGTTTTGGCTGTATAAGATTGTGAATGGGCGTTTATATAAGAGGTGGTATCGGAAAAAATCACGCATAGATTGAACGGTTTTACTCAAACTATATCAAATTTGATAAGATCATTCTATCTCTCAGAACGGACCTGGGCATGCCTCCGTAGCTGCGTTGGTGACCTTTATAAAGCTGGCGGCTTCGGACGCTTTTACAAAGGCCTAAGTGCAGCGATCCTACGAGCATTCCCGGTAGGTGGTGGTCTCTGGAATATCGTTTATTACGGTATGTTTTTCAGCACAACGCTGTAGCCTATTCTGTCTATGCTTTGGTCGTAACAGCATTGACTGTGCCGCAGCATGCAGCAGTTGAATAGAGCTTCTCTCATTCCTCTGGCACGTCTGAAGATAGCGATGTGGTTAGGAATTGAAAGAAGAGCGGTAGCGTAAATACTTGATTTTTTATATACTACACAGACTAACGTTTCCCTCGCTGCTTCGTTGCTTCTATTCTTGCTGCTATTATTCGTTCCGCGATTGGTATGGTTCTGGACTATTAAGTTGCTGATGATTCGGATCATTTTTGCCCTCAGTGGCGTGGTAAATTTTGTGGCGCGCGGTAGTTTGGAGGTGATGCCATGATGATGTAGTTTCCGTTTGGAGAGCGATCATTGAGCTGACTCGTTCCGACAAACGGTGTGTTTCCGATAATAGTCTTGAAAGATGTAAGATTTGGTTAGTGTGATTGGATGGGGCGTTGAGGAAATGCAAGTTTTGGTAAGATTGCAAGTGGATCATGATGTTGCTACTGTGATGATGGTTACTACGTAAGATGGAAACTCTCCCGGTGCTGAATCTCCTGTGTATCCTGACGATGGTAGATTCATTACCGTCGAGTAAATCCAATTTTCCCAAAATTTCGTGAGTTTGCTGCTGTCACCATCATCGTGTCACCATGTTTCCTTTTATGTTGCCTATCAGTCACGATACTATTATTGCGCTTTTCTATGGTCCTATTCCCTAGCGGTCACGTTACCACAGAAGGGAATTTTGTCGTCATCTGCTGAACTGTTGTCGTCTGTAGTTCTATGCTGAAATATTTCGTGATACCATAATCTCCCGAAATCGCGAGGACGACCAACTGATAGCTATCATTGACTTGAGTTGTAATCTGGTGTCAGCTCTCCTGGTTCCACAGTGCGGTGTTTTCTCTTCGCTGGATGGGCTCATTTCGCCGCGTCTTCGAGAGGAGTACATTGATAGTTGGGCGAGCTCTGCGGCTGCTTAGAGTGAGTTGGGAATTGACAAATTTATGGTATTGAAATACGCGGAAATTCCGTTCAGGTTGCGTTCTTGTCAATCGCCTTATTGTCCTGTGGAGCACTACAGCGAGTCGCCTTCAAGCGAATAGCTTATCCTCTGGGACGGTAGGCGTCGCTGTTATTGTGGTCGTAAAGTTGAATGTTCAGGTATCCAGTTTTGCTACTATGTGTGATATCGGCTGCGTTTATTCCCCTTTTTGGTTTCCCCTACCTCTATGTGAAGTGTGCCGCGGGTGGTACTGACGACCGTCGCATTCTGCCCTACTCTATAATAGGTATACTATACTAGGGAATAGCTGGTGACCGCTGTGTGTAGGTGCCCTTAATGCAGTTAATGGCGTTTTGACTATATTTGGTAACGCGTATGTTCCTGGTTACCTACAGACTATACTGCAGCAGACTATTATCCCTTTCACGATGATATTATCTGTGGTAACACTTTATTGGTTTGCTTCTGTTGAGTGGCTGTGTTGATGTCAGCTTATATGCGGTACTCGCTACGGTGCTCAGCATATACTTGGAGTTGTTATTATCATCGTTGGTGTTGCTATACAGTTGGGCCCACTAGTGGTAGGAGGAGGCGATTCTCCTGTGCGTATCGATGCTCTCATCTCAGTCGAGTAGCGAAGACAGTCCGACATCAACCACTACTAGCTTGTTTTGGTCTGTAGTTTATCTTATAGCGCCTTTACCAGTTGCCGTGGCAGCAGTGTAGGTCGTGGGTAATTTTGTGGCGCAGTGACGGTGGCTCTATCAGTTACCAAGAGTCGGAGTTTTCCAAGCGCAAGGTGAACCTGATATCACTAATGTATTGGAGTAACCTCATCCAAGCTATAATACTGTTCATGCTGGTCACAAGAAATCAGTCCACTCTGATTCCACACTGGTCCCCTATGCAGGTACCGTACGACCTGGTCGCCTCGGATAACTCGGAGGTGTTACAGTGGCCGGCAGCGTATCGGTGTATTATGGCCTCTGATGAGAGGGTCAATCCCGAATGCGCTAATGGGCAGGCTGGGATGTAAGGAGCCGCAACTCGTAGATTTACTCTCGAAGCCAGCCTGGACCATGCGTGAAGAATTATCGATTTTCTTGATTCTATCGGTGGCATTGTTGTATCTGTTTCAGCTACCTAGGGTCGTGTATTCTGTGGATGCTCATTTCCCAATTGATCCAAGCGGAGTTGGTCCGACATGCAGGAGCCAGCCTCTGTGCTGTAGTCATGACGCTGGGCTTGCCTACCACCGCCCTCGCTTTTTCCGTGAGTACTTTGGTGAAGTTGGATGGTCGTTCAGTTTGACTGTGATGATATGACTCGAGCTGTTGTTCTTCGAAGCGTACTTTGATTTCTGTGATGATCGAGACCTGTTATCCTTGGGTCGGTGATAGCAGTATTTGTGCATCAGATGCCTGAGCTTATGGGAGATCATATCGAGCCTATTGATCGCTCAACCATGTTGGCCCTCTCGGTGGTGAGTACTATGCCTCTCAATCGGTTGCTTTACTCGTTCATTGTAGATTCTGTTGGGCGTAAGCTTATACCGTTCGGCTAATATGAGCGATAATGCTCCTGTTAGCCCGAAGAGTGCCGCAGCCTTGGTGCAGTCCACAGACTCGAGCGGTATGTATTTCCATAGGCGCTAAGGTTCACAGCGAAATTACGTTGTTGTGAATTAGGTGAGAATCGTCATACTCCTCGGCGAAGGTCCAGTGTCCAGCCTCGGCTCTATAGTACTGGTATCGGCATCATTCAGAGCGAATACACGCATGACGAAAGGCTAGAGTATATTAAGTTGTTTCGATATGGTTGGTCGTATTGTAGTTCTTCAGATGCCCGCTATTATTAGAGCACACTCGCTCGGCTGGATTGTCTCCACGTCGTGGCCAACAAGCGAGATGATGGGGGGTGTATTCATGAATGTTATCATTCGGAACGATTTCTTTCAGTTCGGCATTTTTATCTTACCCCAATCTGTTGGGA